TGTTTTTTATCACATTAGTTGACTCTGAGTTCCCACATCAATTATTATAAAAGAAAATACTTTATTGAAGTTATTAGAAAAATAATTTAAGAAAAATAAGTGTAATCCTTTTATTAATTTATATATTGTTAATATTAATAAAAGAAAAAGAGAAGTTTTATTTGGTTTGTAGAGTATTAAGTTATTGTTTGTTTTAATGATAGCAAGAAATTAAGAAGAATTTTGTTTGATTTTGTCACTAGTTGATTCCGGTTCTAAACTCATAATTTATTTGCAACGGTTTTTTTTTAGGTTGCTGCCACACGTGATACATCAACAGTTCGTTATGTATTTTTTATTCCTTCATTTTCTTTTACGAGTTGATTCTATTTTACTTGTTACTTCATCCTCCTTACTACCATTAGTGTAATAACGATTGACCTGGAATTTAAAACCTGTAGAGGTAATCTTTCCATTCAATACTAGAAACAACAAATCAAGCATCTGAGAATATGGCATAATACGACAAATAGATTGTTTTATTTATATTATAACCTTCAACTTCAAGAAGCACAGAGCTATTTCAGTAACCTTTTGTTTTTTCACATCTCAATCATGTTTCTTTCTTTTTTTTTATTCGTATGACTAGGAGTGGTAAATAAATAAATAAAATTAATAATAATTGGAATTTTTCAATCTCTATAACAAGTAAATGCCGCTTTTTTTTTTTTTTTTAATCGCTGGAATTTTTTAATCATTACGTTAGGGTTTAAATAACTAGTGGACATGATTCAGATCAAAGGAGTCGATAAAATTAAAAATAAAAATAAATTAAATGTAAAATATACATAGACTTATTTATTCGGTGTTGAATTTTCGAGAAAATGAAAAGCAAAGCAGAAAGCTGAAGAACTAAACAGGCTGCATGTAACAGAAATTTTATAGTAATAAATAAATGATTTTAGTGGAAGGAAAACTACGAGTAGTGGGTCCCGAAACAAAGGCTAATTCGTCAAAGAAGATGTTTATTTAATGAGGCGTATGAATAGATCCGACATCTCCATGATTTCCAAATTGACAAATCAAAAGTCTAATAAATATAAAATTAAATAATTAATGGTCTGAAAAGAATTGCATTTTGAAGCAACAAGAGAGAGAGAAATGTAAGTAAAGGCTGTATATGCTGAATTCCATGCAACAATCATGGCCTTTCAATCAATTTCTTAAAGTCTTCAAAATATCATGATGATGGAGTGAGGCATCAGATATTTGGTGGGTTCCACTCTGTCTCTTAACTTGCCCATTATGCAACAATTTTATTCCTTTCATAAATTTTTCTTTGAATTTTTAGCACAATCTTATTATATGCCTACGACCTATTCATCCAAATTTCTCAACAAAATTTTTACTTTGTTTACACCAAGTTTTTTTCAGTATATATTGAAACTAACAAAAATACAAACTTCATTATGTATACACATGCAGCTGCCATCTAATCAAATTATTACTAATTAGGATAGAATTAAAATTTATATTCTAAAAAAATAATGTAGAAACACTCAACATATTAATAATCATTGTATTTTGTCGGTTTATTATTATACATATTTATTTAAATGTTACAAATTTAAACCTTAAAAAAATATAAAATTTATTACTTTATAAATACATCATAAATTGACTATAACTATTTTACAATATTCAATTAAATAAAATAGTAATTTAAATTATTAATATCTAAGTTCGATTATAGTAATTAATTTAGAATAAATTTATTATATTTTTTCGTAAAAAAATATTTTATAGTAGTTAAATTTTTTAACTGAGATACTTATAATAGATTAAAATCCAAAAAAAAAGAAAAAAAGTTGTCTATTTCCTAGTGTTATTGAGCCTTCACATCTAAATTTGCAATCCTCATATTTGGAGTGAAAATAATTGAGAAAACTATTTAACAAAAAATCTTTAATGTAGAGTTAAAACACCTACAAACATATTATATTTACGGGATGAAAGATGAGACTTTCTATGTACATATATAATTGCATACTTATACAGTATAAAGCATGCATAGAAGTTGGTTCAAGTATAATTATATTCATTATTATGTAACTTGTTTAATTCAATATATTTTTACTGTTTGTTTTTTAACTTCTTGTTGTTAGCAGTTCAAAATTAAAACCAAATCCAAGTGAAAGTAAAATAAAAAACTGAGCCAAATGAATTACAATTAGGAAAAGAGTTATTGCAGCCAGGCTTTAGATTCTCTTTCAAGCACCTATAATCTATACCTCATAAAAGAGTTTGAAAATCCAGACGACATGATATATATATATATATATATATATATATTGTGGACTATTCGGCTTCAAAATTCGGAACACATTTATATATAGTCCGTAATATGTATAGATGCATATTCATATGGATTCTTCAATTCCAAAATTTGGACAACATTATAGAATTCTGGGTTCAGCTGTCAATGGCCCATGATCTTCTTATGTTACTACTTGGGGAATGGAAGCCCAAAATCGTTTGCCATTCCTTAATATTTTTAATAGAAAAATATTCTCTTTTAATATTTGAGAGATGAGAGTCTTTCCTTAATTTGTTATACATTTTCCTTCTAATGGGGAATGTAGTTACCCTATGATTTTGATTATAAATAATACATATTTCATTTATGTATGATAATTACTTTTAAGCATCTAAATCAAATTTTCTAATTTTAAACTATTTTGATAATTAAATAAATCTACAATATTTTTTTTCGAAAGATAAAATTAATATTGGGACAAATATATTTTAGATGTACAATCATATTGTTGCATTTAGATTTGCCTTGAGAATAAAAAAAAAAATCAATTTTTTAATAGAAGATTGCAAATAAAATTGAGTTGTAAGATTTTCTAAAAAAATAGTAACTGAATTGAATTGTCAATTATAATAATTGAATTGAATTGTGTTTACTATTAAATATCTATATGAAAATTATTATGAAGATGTCATTTATTTAAGATATTATTTCAGCCAAGTACAACATACTGCTAAATACCACTCATGTTCAATAATTAAATGTAATAAATTAAATTTCTTAGTGCCCTTAGATTAGAATTATCTAGAATGTGTATATTTGGAAAAAGGAATGCCAAATGTTGATGAAAGAGTGTCATTGATTAATTGAATTAAGTATGAAATAAAATGATATTTCACCGATCAATCTACTAAATTGTTCCACTAATCAATGTATCAAACATAAAGAAACAATCTTTATAAAAAAAAAAAAAAAAAAAAAAAAGAGATAAATGCCTCTGGTGTGTGCAGTGCAGAAGCCCTAACAAAGCAGAAAACTGAGAAACCCTTTTAGGGTTTCGAATGGGAGAAAATGAAGAAGCTATCCGCTAAGCAGAAAATGATCAATATATACCTGGGTGAAAAGGGTGCATGTATGCCCAACCGTAGAGTAGCAGAGCACACTCGTTTAATGAGACGCAACGTATAGGGTCTGGAAAAAACAAAACAGGCTAGACAGCCCAAAGTGAGAGCAAGCAGCCCATCGAGAGAGAGAGAACCCAATCTAATAACATCCCCCTTTTAAGATGGCGAGTAGATGTTTTTTGCTCCCATCTTGACCATATGTTCCTTTAACAACCAACTAGATAAGACCTTCGTGAAGATATCAGTAAGCTGGTTTCTATTGCCAATATGTTTGGTCACTATGCTTCCTTCTTGTATCTTTTTCCTAACCAAGTAGCAATTCAACTCAACATGCTTAGTTCTTTTGTGGAATATAGGATTCGCAACAATATGCATTGTTGCTTTATTATCACAAACTAGTTTTGTCTCATATTCATGTTTTACTTCCATATCACTCAATAGGCACTTGATCCATGTAAGCTCGTAGCAAACACTTGCCATGGCCTTGTATTCAGCTTCAGCATATGACCTCAACACAGTATGTTATTTTTTGGACTTCTAGGAAGTTAAAGAATCCCCAAGCAAGATGCAATACCCAATTACAGATCTTGTATCTGGATTGCCAGCCCGATCACTGTCACAATGGGTCTTCAACTTTATATCAATCGTGCTAGAGTACAACAACCCTTGCCCTGACGTCCCTTTAAGGTATCTTAGAACTTTGTAGGCTGCCTTGAGATACTGGTCTACAGGGGTCCCCATAAACTGA